TCAAATGTTAGATATTTTTATTGGGGTCAATTGATGAACTATCGATTAAATGCGCAAATAGATCAATTAATGAACTCATTGATTAATGTTTAAAAATTTTCTATCGATTGTAAATAATTGTATAAATACGCTTGACTTGTATGCTTGATCTGATCTGCCTGCCTGACTTGTTATCTGCTGTTTGTCTGTAGAATACACTTTCTACACCTTACCCAGACTTCTTGATCGAGTTAGCAGAGTTGGGGACAACGGACCAGAATAGGCTATCGAGATTCTGAATCCTTGATCCGATCGATAAGTCACTGTCATATAATCGGTTGTCACATTGAGCCATAACAGTTTGGAAAGGGTCTGACTACAACAATATGGAGCTCCATTCTGTTATAATTAGTTGATGATGGTTATTTTTTGCACCAACATCATTTGACCTACTAATCAATAGTTTTTATGATCACTTCATGCTTAACGACAAAACTAACTATCTAGAGCGGGATGGTAGGTGTTCATGTACTGATTCCAAGAATTATAGTGAGAAGCAGTGATTAGTGAAGTTCAATAATATCAGATACCAGACAGTTATTCATCACAGGTAATAGAAGTTAATGATTCGATATTGTGAAATCAATAAAGTTAGTATGTATACCATTGTACAGTGAAACAGTGATCTAAGAACGCTCCCATTCAAAACAAAGTTCCTGAATATGATTCTAGATAAGGTCATGTACGATCTGTGTTGAGCCCTATATTGTGAAAAAACAAGTTTTTAATGCTTCATGTTTTTCTCATCAAGAGGACTTTGTTCATTAAAGTTGATCGATTGCTAATTGGTGATGAACATGATATTCGTTTAATCCAATAGTGTTGATCAAATTCTATTAGTAAAGTTGTAATATGACCATTGATCTAAATGACTCAGTTACAACTGCACTATGTTTTTATATTAGGTGATTGGAAGTTTCTGACCGGAAACCCTGCTTGACCTAGACTTCGTGTTGGGTTGTTACTTATTTACTTATGCCTGTTATTCCTCGTGGAGGAGCATAAGTCGTCCGCTATTATTCTCCATTCAACCCTAACCTGGATAATCCTTTCCATTTCTTTCCAGTTCTTATTCATCAATTTCATATCTACTCCTACTTTCCAATGTAATGTGTTCTTTGGCCTTCCACTTTTCCGCTTTCCTTCAGAATTCCAAGCTAGAATTTGCATCGTGATGCAGTTTGGTGATTTTCTCAATAAGTGTCCTGTCCATTTCCATTGTCTTTTCCTAATTTCCTCTCCAGCTGGAAGTTGGGTTATACTAATCAGCAAATCATACTATTGTAGTGACCTACTTTTATCAAGAGAACGCGATTGATTTAATGAAAACAATTATTATTATAACCAATTGTACCAATGATTGTTTTACTGCGCTCGTTTGTTTAACTGTGCTAAAGACAGCCATATTGCTCTTCCGTTATTCTCCATTACTGTTTCGCGGTTCGTCACCTTGTTCGCACGTACTTTCTTCTGCCGATTCCGCTTCTACCTTTACTTGGCACGATCTTGGTATTCATTCGATACCACGAGATCGCCAACGAAATAAACTTGGTTCCAATCCGCATTCGCCTTCTGATTTATTTGGCACGTGTTTCTTTGTAGTGGTGTTCATAGTCAACTGCGACTCGACAGCGCGCTACACTTTCATTCCTAAAGAAATTGTTGCTACCTAGCTGATTTGAATGTATCACTTGGTTTTACAGTCTAAGAAGTCATCAATAAAGTATTTAGGTCACTAATACCATTTATAAAATCCCAAGAAATTTGAGCTCACATCGTGAATTTACTTGAGTTAGAAATGTAAACAATTGAATTTACAACTTACTAATTGAAAATATACGCGATACCTGTGATACTAAAGCATCCTGTATCTAATCTCACGCAGGATTTCCGCAGTTCACTTTTAAAGAGCTTGAAACTAGAGTGAAACACTTGTCATATGACGTATGATTCTCCATCCTTCCTAAGATAACGCGTTCATCTGATAAAATCTCTATTTACAAATATCATTTCTTCTTAAAACAGCATTGATCTCATGGATAGTAGAGTTCTATACTATGACTAAGCAAATCCAGTAAGTCAGTAACAACGTAGAACTTCGTACGTACGTACATCAGTTCGCGCTGCCATACCATATTAGCACAGACATGCAGTGGTCAATTCCAATCCCATACTGGTAGAGGTAGTAAGAGTATAAGCAGTAATCGGAAACATTAGGGTTTAAAGATGTTATTCAACGAGTATAATCCAGTGAAATAAATTTGGAAAGAGGAAAAAGAAAGGGACATGAAGAATTCAGAAAATTAGAATTTGGGAGAACATAAAGAGTGGATGCACCTGCGCCATTGCAAACGATTTTGAGCCATGTCATTCAAGGTTTCTAACCATCGGTTGTTATCATCTCGCGGTCCCCAACCAGGTAGTCTACACCTACCAACATGACTCAGTTCACTTATCAGTGACTTCATGGACTTGTGTCATGTTTTCTTCTGGCCACCCCTAGCTTTCTTTCAACCTTCTACTACACCATAAAACATCGCACATCAAGGCAGTCGGTTGTTGGGCATACGTAACACATGTCCCAGCCATCTCAACTGATGAAGTTTCATTACGTCATCGATTGATTTGCCATCCTTACCTAGTACCCGTGTCCTAACAACTGCATTACTTACTCAGTGGTCTTAGGATATGTGGGCAATGCTTCGAAGACACCTATGAACGAATACTAGTAACCTACGAATATCTTTTACTCTTACCGGCCATATTTCACTGCCATAAAGTAGAACGGAACGAACTACTGCACAGTAAACACGTCCTTTTGTTGATAGACGGATATTTTGCCTGCGCCATAAATGACGCAAGTTGGCAAAAGATAGCCGAGCCTTCTATATCCATGCTGAGATTCCGTCACACACCAGAACACAAGGGCTGATGAGACTTCCAAGATAAGTGAAGTGATCGACACGCTCAATTACTTCACTCCCTATCATTAGTTCGGGTGTCAACGCAACCCAATCCTGAAGCAACATTTCGCATTTCGAGGGGGAGAATCGAACATGCTTGCATTATTGCTTAGAGTGTTCATAAGGCTCTGCATTTTGTCAGCGTCTTCACCAAATAAAACTATGTCATCGGCATGTTCTAGGTCAAAAAGTGAATCTCCCGGTAGAAGTCCAAATTTTAGTAAATATCTAAGCTAAAATCAGTCTGCCAATTAAAATACAAACAAAAAACAACATACTACTATGGAAAACCTAGAAGCACTGGATGTCTGTTTCATCCTATTATGAAACTCCTCAACGATGCACATTCACAATCCCCCATCACAAGATTCGAACCCAAGACTTATCAGTCTCTCAATTATTAGATTACTACAATCTTTCTACGAACTAATCTTTTCTTCCTGTACTATGTCAACAACAAATGCAGGAGAAGACGAACAGTGTGGCAGCAGCCTCAGCAGCAGTAGGTCTCAATATAACCAAAGGGAAAAGCAGGATTCTCCGGTACAACACAGAATGCACCAATCCAATCACAATTGACGGAGATTTGGAAGATGTAAAAACCTTTACATATTTGGGCAGCATCATTGATGAACTGGGTGGATCTGATGCGAATGTCAAGGGGCGGATCGGCAAAGCAAGAGCAGCATATTTACAACTGAGGAACATCTGGAACTCAAATAAACTGTCTGTCAACCAACACCAAGGTCAGGATTTTCAATACAAATGTCAAGACAGTTCTACTGTGTGGGGCAGAAACCTGAAGAACTACGAAAGCCATCTTCCAGAAGATACAGGTGTTTGTTAACAGTTGTCTACGCAAAATACTTCGGATCCGTTGACCGGACACTATTAGCAACAACGTACTGTGGGAGAGAACAAACCAGATTATAGCGGAGGAAGAAATCAGGGAGCGCTGGAAGTAGTTAGGACACACATTGAGGAAAGCACCCAACTGCGTCACAAGACAAGCCCCCACATGGAATTCTCAAGGCCAAAGGAAAAGAGGAAGACCAGAGAACACATTGCTGGGAAATGGAAATAGACATGAGAAAAATGAACAAGAATTGGATGTAACTAGAAAAGAAGGCCCAGGACAGAGTGGGTTGGAGAATGCTGGTCGGCGGCCTATGCTCCATCGGGAGTAACAGGCGTAAGTAAGTAAGTACTATGTCCTTATATGCAGTCTTTATTTTATATATTACTACCATTGAATTAACTACTTCCATGAATCCAATTGTTAAGTTTGTCTTACATTGTTCCACTCGCTCCCTTTCCACTCTTTTGTATATTGTTTTGCACAACTTATTTATATTCAGTAAGTAGTTGTATTTCCAACAATTTTTACACTTATGTTGTGACGCAAGTTGTAGTGTAATATTCAGAAATGTCCACATATACTTATAACGTTTATTACACTCATCATTGTATTTATCATTATAATCACTGTAATTTAATTACTGTAACGGTTATCCAGTTTCGTGCACTTGTTTAAACGCGACAGTTTCCATATTGTTTTGCTATTGGTTCGCTTTTCGGTTGCTCATAAACTGTTATCAAATATAGACACAGCTACCACCTGTCTTTTGTACTATCGCATGGTATAATTATTCTTTATGTTACTGTTACAGGAAGCCTTTGTTATTTTTATTTTTGAAGGATGCGTTTAAACTCCCCAGACACCTCACAAGTTGAGGTTTGCAACTGAATTTTGTGTATTATTCAATAAACAACCGCTAATGTAGACAAATGGTTGTTTTGGAAACTTCGGTTTTGTGCGTATCTCAATCGGGTAACTTGGACGCTTAGATAGATCTAACATCAATGTTCATCTTGTTGTGCTTATAAGGTATGGCAACTTAGACCGATGCACATATATGCCTGATCCTACGTTGTAGCTGACTGACTGACTGACTAACTGACCACAAAACCCTTGACTAAATATATTACTAAATAAGTTTAAGAGTAGTACATATTGAAGTTAAGATTAAATTCATCCAATATAATGAAAAATCATTCAAATAACACAAATGGAAATGAATTTATAAACAAATGCAATCAGTTTAATGAATATGATGCAATTCATTTCACAGATAGGTAAAATTTTTTCGTAAAGTTTAACGATCTATTTCATTCTTTCCATTTGTATAGTTTGTTATTGAAGAACAAGAGTTTCTAATTGTACTATTAGATCTATATTGTAATGAATGATCCATTGTATCATTCATTATGATCGATAGATTATTACAATTGGGATAAGAATTAATCAATTCCAAGTGAACAGTTTGTCCAGTTTTAGCCTGTTTGTTTTTTTAAAGTGAAAGAAGAAAAAAGAAAAAAAACAAGGAGTCGAACCAGAGATCAATATTAGTAAAGAAAAAGGTATGTATGTGAGGGGGGGTTGTGGTTGTGGATGCGCACTGCTGAGGAGTCCCACAATAGGACGAAACGGCCGTCCAGTGCTTCCAGGTTTTCCATGGTGATATTTTATTTATTTATTTTAACACAGGTATTGGTACAAGGAGGCACCAAATACATATGTGCCACACAAATCTCGCTCGATATGTGTGAGGGCTGCGATAATACCCGGGTGCCCAAACCGAAACAGGTGGTTTTCTTAGGGGGCTACACCCAAAGCCTTCGACCTGAAGGTCTGATCCACAAGGCAGCGGAGCATCGTAAGGAGATGCAATCCCATGGTAGCCGATGACCAACGATTGGTTCGTACGCTATTTGTTCCTTCAGTATACTGGAGCCCATGTGCAACATTAGTTTGGAATCAGGGTTTTCTAACTTTTCTAGGTGAATCCTCCATATCTACTTACCCGGTTAAATCGCCGGATATTCGCTTTTCGTCCTCTAAATTTCGTAAACAACACCTCCGCCACGAGAAGGCAGTGAGTAGGACTTTCCTGGCACAGGCTGTATACGCATGGCCATGTGAGAGCATTTGGAGAGGGAGAGCGGACTCTCCCCACTCTCGGCCGTACCAGGGCATTAGAGGCCATGTTATAAACGCAATCAGTGGTTGAAAACATTGTTTAAGACCTATAAGCAAAGATGGATAGTGGCTAGCAGTGGAATCCAGTACGCGCGTTTCGTCCTGTTTGGGACTCGTCAGCTGGATGTACCTGCATCTCAGAGTTGATGTTCACTCTGGGACTCGAACTCAGTGCCGTTCGCTTCAAACGCCATCGCGTTATCCACTTAGCTACTGAGTCCTGATACCCACTTGCTTGTGCAATGGGTTGAATTAAATTTAGGCAATATCGAGGCATACGCACAGTATGCACATATGCCAATAAGAGACTGATCAATTTCAGTCCAAAAACATCAATGGGAAGATTCAAGTAAAACAATATCAAGTGAATTGTTTAAGACTATTTACAATAGAACAGATGAATTCACTATTTATCTTCCATTCTATCTTGAATTCTAGTACCACTTTCTTTCGAAACAGGCATTTATTACCAAAGATTTTTGTGTTTAGAATTGTTTCCATTCATTCATTATGTCTTTCGAAAGAACATTATCTTGATTGTCTATAAAATGTTTACAATCTATCATGACTCCGATTATTGAGAATTTCAACAAATACCACAAGTGTAGTTCATTAGAATCTATTCACCCATTCAAAGATAAAGAGAGAAATGAAAGGTGCATCTTCATAATGATTTGATGTAAAAATCAATTTGTGATAGCGTGCATCAATCGAATCATACTCGACGGAGAAGATTTGGAAGATGTAAAAACCTTTACATATCTGAACAGCATGATTGATGAACATAGTGGATTTAATGTAGATGTGAAAGCATGGATCAGCAAAGCAAGAGCAGCATATCTACAACTGAAGAACATCTGGAACTTAAAACATCAATCAACCAACACAAACACAAAATTTTCAATACAAATATCAAGACAGTTCTACTGTATGGGGTGTTGTTAAACAGAATGAAGGACTTCGTAGACGCCAAACTTCGAGACCGACAGGCTGAATTCTGTAAGGATCAATCGTGTACGGACCAAATCGTAAAATTATGGATCACTGTGGAACAATCATTTGAATAGAATTCATCACTCATCATCAGCTTCGTTGACCACGAAAAAGCAGTTGATAGCATGGACAGGACAATACTATAGAGGCTTCTTCGACACTGCGGCGTGCCTCAGAAGATAGTCAATATCATACAGAACTCTTATGATGGATTAAACTGCAAAATCGTGCATGAAAGAGAATTGACAGACTCGTTCGAAGTAAAGACCAGTGTCAGGCAATATTGCTTACTCTCACCCTTTTTCTTTCTCTTGGTGATCGACTGGATGATGAATACGTCAACATCTGGTGGGAAGCACGGGATACAATCAGAAGCTAAGATGAAGCTGGACGATCTAGACTTCACAGATGATCTGCCTCTTCTATTGCACATGCAACAACAAATGCAGGAGAAGACGACCAGTCTAACAGCAGCCTCGGTAGCATTAGATTTCGACATACATAAGAGAGAAATAACGATTCTCCGATACAACACAACATGCATCAATCAAATCGCACTCGATGGAGAGGATTTGGATGATTTAAATTCTTTTCTTATCTGGGCAGCATCATTGATGAGAACGGTGGGTCTGATGCAGATGTGAAAGCACGGATCGGTAAAGCAAGAGCAGCATATTTACAAATGAAGGACATCTGGAACTCGAAGCAACTGTCAACCAACACCAATGTCAGAATTTTCAATAGAAATGTCAAAACAGTTCTACTGTGTAGGACAGAAACTTGGAAAACTACGAAAGCCATCATCCAGAAGATACAAGTGTTTATTAACAGTTGTCTATGCAAAATAATTTGGATCCGTCGGACAGACACTATCAGCAACAACGTACTGTAGGAGAGAAAAAATCAGGTTGTGGCGGAGGAGGAAATCAGGAGGAAGCTCTGAAAGTGGATAGGACACACATTGAAGAAAGCACCCAGCTGCGTCACACAGCAAGCCCTCACATGGCATCCTGAAGGCCAAAGAATACATTACACCGAGAAATAAACACAGACATGTGAAGAATGAAAGGAGAATGGACAGAACTAGAAAGGAAGGCTCAGGACAGAGTGGTTTGAAGAATTTCGGTCAGCGGCCTATGCTCCATTGGGGGTAACAAGCGTAAGTAAGTAAGTAGGTAAATATTTCATGTAATTGATACGATTATTATCCTTGATATCATTATTATTATACTAATATGTTATAATAGTCAGTTAAGGTCGGCAAATGATTGAATGAACCTTTAAGTAATTTATTATTCTTTCTGAACAACTTGCAGTGTGAAATGATGGTCAAAATGTTAAGCTCATACGGACGCTTAAATATTATTGTATTCTCTGAATTGTACTGCTCAATTGTAAATTCTGAACAATTCCACTAGTGTTCAACATCATATAGAATTCGGCTTAATAATTATTCTTCAAGTATAAGGACATTTGTAGAGATTGTATAGTTGGGGGTCGTGGATGCATACTACTGAATAGTTTCGCAGTGGAACGAAACGGTCGTTCAGTGCTTCTAAGTTTCTAATGATTCTCTAATGATGATCAATTCATGATTTAGACTACAAATATTCCATAACTATCAAAACCTCAGTAATAAACAACGTTATCATAGTGAATTTGATTGTGTCTACTATAGTGACTCACGTGCAATTGAGTTCATTCTCATTTAACTCAATTAAGCCCTTTTGCTAACTTATTTAGCGGACAAAGTCATCTGCACTATAACAACTTATTGTAGCCTTATTATTTTGTGCTTGTACGAAATACGTATGCTTGAATATTGCTTACGGCCTACGAATTTACTCCCTCTGCTAGTCTTGTTACTAACTACTTATTTGATTCGATTACTCATTCATTTCACATGGTATATATATGTCCATGTTATTCATATTCCACACTCACACACTCTCGTCTCGCTCTTGCTCTGGCTCTCGCTCGCTTGCTTGCCTTTCGGTACAACTCTTTATGCTTGTTTAAACGCATCTGTACATTTGGATATATGTGTGTGGTCTCGTAATAAACGTAATCAACGCTTCGTATTTGCCTTCTGATTAATGTACCGTTGGGGCGTTATATAGAACGGTTATCAAGACGAACTGTATAAGAAGTTAAGGATTATATCGGATACCGACCACCACACTACCCTCCTAACAGATAGGAATGTCCTTAAGTCACTTCTGTATCATAATAAGAGATAGAAAGTAATACGAAGATTTATTTAATTGTTCTTCTTACCTTCTTATAGTCAATCATCATTTCTTTGAATGCAAGGAAATCAGTGAATGTATACAACATTTCAAATACTTCACCATCTAATGAACTATAGTTGGAACTGTGTAAAAAGAGAAGAAAGCACATACACAAACACACACATATACAAATAAGTAATGACCATAAAAATGGCTTGTATAGAAGAAAACAAAAACGAGGTCATGAATATGACATTGATCATTGAGAAGGTTTCGTTAGATTTCAATATTCATGATCATTATAGATGATCTTACAATGAACTATGAAAGTAGTGTAATCACATTGTAAATGTATCGTAATTAAACAATTGGGTCGAAGCATTTTAAATGACATATGCTCAATTTCATGGCCGGTAAGAGTAGAGGATATTTGTAGGTTACTAGTATTTGATCATAGGTGTCTACGAAGCATTGCTCATATATCATAGGACTACTGAGTAAGTAATTCAGTTATTAGGAAACGGATACTAAGTAAAGACGGAAAATCAATTGATGAAGTAGTGAAACTTCATCAGTTGAGATGGCTGAGACATGTGTTACGTATGCTCAACTACTGACTGCCCCGATGAGCGATTTTTTGTGGTGTAGGAGAAGGTTGGAAGAAAGCCATGGGAGACCAAACCAAAACATGGCAAAAATCTATAAAGTCACTGATAAGTGAACTGAGCCACGTTGGTAGGTGTAGACTACCTGGTTGGGGACCGCGAGAAGATAGCATTCGATGGTTATAGACCTTGAGTGACATGGCTCAAAATGGTTTGCAATGGGGCAGGTGCATCCACTCTTTATGCTCGCCCAAATTCTAATCTTCTGAATTCTTCATGTCCCTTTCTTTTTGTCTCTTTCCAAATTTATTTCACTGGATTATACTCGTTGAATAACATCTTTAAACCCTAATCTTTTCAATTACGGCTTATACATTTACTACCAGTACGGGATTTGAATTGACAATTGTATCTCTGTGCTAATGTGGTATGGCTACTCGAACTGATGTACATACGTATGAGGTTCAACGTTGTTGCTGACCTACTGACTGACTGACTGATTGACTGACTTATCGACTCAATCTAATTTTGATTCAGAATGAGTTGAGAAAAATGTCAATAACAATCAAACAGTAGTATGAAGTAACAAACTAGTCAATCATGAATAATTCAAACATGAGTATTATGCATTAAAGCAAACTTAATTTATTCTACCATGCTGTTCACCTTTATCCTATAGGCTTGTTCAAGTCAATGTCTGTGTATCTATTTAGAAAGATAATGCAAAATGTTTAATAGATAATAGTTATCCTATTGAAATTTAGTTTTGACTAAAGATATATAAGTGTAAAGTTGATTGAGAAATTAAACTGTCGACGTAAAACATGAAGGTTCTAGGTTCGATCTCAAACCAATAAACACTATGAAATGATAAATTATAGCGTTCAACCTATTCAACTTACAATCTGTAGGTTAAAGGATCAAACCCCAGTTTGTCTATATCACTTTGAGAAATTGAGTAGTATAGTTAGTACTCAAACAAAACAAGTAATATAGTTCAAACTTCAGTAAATGAATAGGTACAAGGATATATAAAGATCACCAATTACAAACAAATCCACAGATCAGAAAGAAATTTGTGGATAATATAGTAATTTTAATAATGGAGATCATAAGTCAATTGAAGCTAGACCACCATAGAAAACCTAGAAGCATTTGACGGCCGTTTTATCCAATTGTGGAACTCCTCCTTGACAATGTGCATCCACGACCCCGCCTCGCTAGATTCGAACGCGGAGGTGGAGTCGTGGATGTACACTGCTGAAAAAAACCTACAGTAGGACGAAACGGCCGTTCAGTGCTTTCAGGTTTATCATTGTGATTTAGCTTCAATTGACTCATGATCTCAACTATTGAAATCTATACATATATAGATAGATTCACTTACACTAAGCTATCTATAAATGAACGCATTGAGAAATGAGGTATTCTTTGACATAACTGCTCTTCTAATACTCTTTCAACTGTATCAATCTATAAAATGATATTTGATCATTAATTTAGATTGAATTGATGATGAAGATAAAGTAAAAGAAGTAAACGAATAACAAATTTCATTTACATATTTTTCATGAATTTCTGTATAACAAAATTTATTCTCTTCATTTTCATCAAATTCATTGTAATTTTCATTCATAAATGTATCTTGGATACTTTGAAAGTGATCACCTTTGTTTGTTTTCAAGGATCAGAATATGAAAGTAGAAAAAAGTTGTAAATATATTAATATCAGATAGGTTTTGTGGATATTATAGTAATTTCAATGGTTAAGATCATGAGTCAGTTGAAGCTAAACAATCATAGGAAACATGAAAGCACTGGATGGCCGTTTCGTCTCACTATGGGACTCCTCAGCAGTGCGCATCCACGAACTCGCCCCCTGCGAGATTCGAACCCAGGACCTACTTGAACAGTAAATAAGTAGTATAAGTTACTTTGTATGAACTTTTGTGCAATAAATTATGGACATGACTACTACGTCCCATAAATATGAGCATAAAGATCTATTATGGAAATTTTTAGCCTTAATCATTTTTACGTTCTTCAAAATAACCCCCATTATTGGATAGATACAAGACTCATCTGTGTTTTCACTGTTGAACAAATTTCTTTGAATCCTCAAAGGTCGGGCTCTACAACTGTTTCATTGTTTAATGTTTCATTATTTTCCCATGATCCGTTCCTAAACCGGGACATAAAGAAATCTCATAGTGGATAATTGCGGACCACGAACTATATATAATCATAGTCCACGTATTTATTGCACAGATCACGTGATTGTAAGTAGACAACAATTTTTCTCGATTAGTAGCTAAGTCATAATAAACCAATAGAGTTAGACTGGCTAAAGGTGATGCCCTTGATCATTGGTCGAATTACGGTATAACTAAGAAAATGATGGTTTCTTAAGACTATGAAGTAACATGAAACGATTTAAAATAGGCAGAATTGGAATATACACGGTAAAATTTTATAATGTTAGATTATCCGTTTTAGAAACAGATAATCAAGTACACGCTACATAACGTGATCTAATGTCACCAAATTATACACAACCGTCACATATCTATTATGAAAGGTAAACTGGATACTTCTTTAATACAAACTTGTAAAGTGCTTTATAATTTCTATACGGGTTTGAATTTTCATGGTCTAAAATCACGAGCTAATCTTAGTTAGACAACCGTTAAAAACTGGGAAGCACTAGACAGCCGTTTTGAACTAGTATGGGACTCCTCGACAGTGTACATCTATGACTCGGACACAGGGGAATGAACCCAGGACTTCTGACTTCACGCCAGCATCCGACAGTGTACAAGCCCGACTTTAATCAGTATGTGATGTTGAGTGATAATCTTTTAATACCAGAATACAACAAATCTCGCATCCTCTGGTCACAACTTCCACTAGAAGTCGTGAAACTACTTCTCAAAGTTAGTCACTAGCAAGGATAGGATTAAAATTAATATAAGGACTTAATGGATATTGTTAAGTTTTCATAGTTAGCCTTACAACTGACCTTAGGTAAATGGACATTAAGAACTAGGACGTACAGAACATCGGTCGTCCAGAGGTTAAGTGCTCACTACGAGACACGAAAGTCTTGGGTAAGGTCACCGGTAATTAGGTCGTGGGTGTGAATTACAAAAGATTCCAGTACTAAGATAAAACAGCTGTTCAGTGCTTCCTGATTTCGAATAGCAATCTAACTAAAATCAGTTCATAGTGCAAACTTTGGAGTCTTTTATACTTAAATATAATTACTCTTACTCATCATTATCTCCTCTAAATATCCAACAACAATATCGAAATCCGACAATGGTTCTTGTGATCTATCCTAATTATGATAGCTGTAGGGTGAAAAACAAACCCAACAAATGGTTCTTCAGACACATCATCATTTCCATTGTTTATTTGTGAATCTGAACAATAAACAAACAAACAGCACAAAGCTTTATAATAATAATAACATCAAATTTTCACTAGTAATGACTTCGTTTAAAGATGGGTTCTTAAGCATCTAGTAAAATGTTATGGTTTATGAGGTTCAGTCATATTAATAGTGAAATACTCATCAACATTACCACCGGATAATCGTTCTGTTACATTATAAAAACATTGGAATTGGAAATATTTACTTGAGATACATTACAACTGATACTTTTAGGTAGGAGTATTTCGAAATTTATTCCATCATAAACATTGGTCTGTTGAATCGTATTTTTGTATTTGTGACACAATGTTAACAATTTTTTCGTCTAATTTAACACTGTCTACTACTAACATACATCATCATTTACCAAGTGGTCAAACGCTTAAAACTACTGAGCACTAGCATTTAATTTGCCACAACGAAACAAGAATGAATAAATTATGGGGTTTTTGGTTTTGAAAGTGCTATGAATGCCTACATCGTAATATGATAGTTGCTGTGAGCAAGTGGGAGAACCTTTATGATTTCAGGATCCCTATAGTATTCACAGAAATGAACAAAACTCGTGTCTCATTATTTTGATAGATACTTGTGAGGTTGAAATTTGGATTTGGTATGACTATTGTAATATGCTATAATGAATGTCAATGCTGAATGCACTTAACATTTTCAAAAACGACATATACCTTAACCATTGCTTGAACATATGTTAGGTTTTTTGACTGCATCCAGGTTTACCGTTCTATCGTAGGCATTTGAGTATTTTGGTAAGCCCTCAACTACATGAGCATCTTCTGAGAAATACTATCAACTTTTTTCTCGTTTGTCATTATTCACGCAGAAAGTTTTGACTTTCTGAAATATGTTCCAACTAGCTCAATAGGAAGAAGCTAATATACTATGAGTTTTGTGTGATCTACCTAACTCTTCCGCAGGCAGGCTTCTTCACTACATTATTATTTCATAAGCTAACTGGCAGCCCAAATAAATAAAAACTGTGTTACTACTTGTCGTCAAACGTAAAACCAATACCAAGGTACTCAAGATAAGGCACTTGAAAGTTCTAATGCATAAATCAGAGCTTTTGTATGGCGAATGCATCTTCTTTACATCTCAAGTAAAGTGCCCAGTCATTAGGACTGATTTTATTTCACCCGTTGCTAAGTCGATCACATATATGGTGTAAAATGGTATTTTTCAGCTAGTGAATTAGTTTGGTATACATTCGACGGTGAACCAAAGTTTGGATTTTGAAATACTAACTATATCAAAACTCACATTGATTTCGATATAGTTAGTAGAGTATACTGTATACTGTTCAGGCTTAGTTAAAAGTATAACCACCATTCAAAGGATGTTGCCAGATGCCTGAAACCGTTCCGAGAACGAAAAAAAAAGAAGCGACTGCAAAGAAATCAACCGGTTTATATAAGCTCGTACTAGCTTATAGTTGACTGAAAAAGCTCAATAAAAAACAGTATTTCGGCGATTCCACTTGTTTTTATAACACGCTTTTATGGAGAATGCCCTGGTAGTTTTTTGCGAGTTCGCGTTTAACGTCATAAAAAACATCAAAATGTCGTTTTGATGTTATTTGGTATTTTTCGGACAGAGTGATATACAACCGTTTACTGACCTAAAAATGCGAACTTTATCAGAACATAACATGCCAATGATGATAGAAGCAGATGAAAACCCACCAATTTTATGAAAATACTAATGTTAAAAACGTGTCGAACTCTTACTAACCGCCTAGCTCCATAGACGCTGGAAAATAAGTATAAGTTGCTAGATTAAAACAAATCTATAATGCAATCCAATGAATAAATTATATGCCTTGAAACTACTTATTTTGATAACATAATTCTACAACAGGCGGATTTTTGACATGAAGGCTGACTGGTGTGAGAAGAATACTTCAAATCTCCATGATTTATAATTGCATTCAAGAAGTAGTCTAATTGCAGTGATCTAACATCCAACTGAAAGAAATCTTTACCAGATTCCCTAGATTGCTTGACTTTGGAAGTGTGTCTGGTGTTTTTGCAGTCCCTACCAGATTCAAATGGCTACTGATATCAGCCTCTGTTTCTTACCGATAATTAATCGATAAAACCGGTGTGAAGCACCAAAAAAATGCATAATCCATCTAGCTTTGTCCTGATGAAACCAGAGGTGGATGCACAACACATTTTAATGTCTCATCCTATCCAAATTCAGGACGAGTAAGCTATTTGGCTTGATCTTCGAGTAGCACTAGAAAATTTCTCTCTCAAATCATATTGAATAAGTAGCTAATTTTAGCATATATGAATAAAACTTTCAACCGTATCATACATATTATCTCAGTCAACAAAGTGCAGTCTTGTTTGACCGTGCACAAAAAATGGGTTTTGAATTGATGTTACATAATTAGGCTGGAAACAGGACTTTGTTAGCTGTATCAATTTACCAATCACATGAAAATTGAGTACGAAGTCAAAGCGCAGAAAAAATGCAGCTTTGTGAGCAGTTTTTTCAGTGACAAACTCTGAATAACATCTGAAAAATTTAATAGTGAAGAATAACTCAGATCAGTGGCCTTCGTTTATTTGTTTTAATTACAACCTGATTAAGGATGTACGTGAACTTGAGATACAACTGAGGAGGTAAAGCAGTTTGTGTACCCCATACACAGGTACAGTTTGACAGTGTTCAATGTTTATTCAGTTGGCTAATAATGCATAATGTCACTCAAGCAGTGAAACAACCACTGAATCAATGAATTTCCATACTACTACAATGCTACACACATATGCAAACATCCTCATAAGATTGCTTCAAAATTAAAGTCTAGTATCTGTATTCTTCTGTCTCACTTCATCATCTGGATTTATCGAATGACTTGAATTCATCATGTATAACTTTTCTATACAGGCTTTATTGTTCACGGCCTCGATGATTTTCCAGCTCCTGAAAAACGATTATGTGGTATTTGTACGAACTAATAATTCCCTTGTACGCGATCGCGCGCTGATTACGAATTCCAAATACAATACGTCCATTTTCGTTCATAGGTCTCTACTTGCAGTAAATTGCACCATTTCGGAATTACTAGTTAGTACATTCACATAAGGCTCATACTGATAAACAGGAAGAATCTCATACGTTTCAAACTGAAAGCATATACTGCTTACACATGAACGCCGCGAGTTTATCAAATAAAATGAATGGGCTACGTGAACTTAGCAATACTAACGATGCTCATCTGATAGGAATGTCTGAAACATGAATAACTTCCCAATTTACAAAGCAGAAGCTAGCGATAGCCGGGACTTCTTTGTTTCGCAATCACACAAAAGTAGGAATGGGAGGTGGAGTAGCCTTAGACTTGGGATTTTGCCTGGAAGCACATTAAGTGCACCACCAGGAGTTTATCAATCACGATAAATCCGTATGGTGCTCAGTAAGATTGTCTACCACCTCGTGTTGTCTAGTTGGAGCTATGTACATGAAGACCATTGCTGACATGGAGTACGAAAATCGAATATTGAAAGGATTACCCAGCTCTAATTTCCCAAGTTCAATAGTATCGTCATTTTCGGGGAATTCACTTTTACTAAAGTTCGCGGAACATACGTTCATTGGAGGTGAAAACACTACTGAAGCTCGCTTCTTCAACTTTAGTGAGGATCTGGGATTATTCGAAATTTTGAAGCCGGCAACTCGTTAGAGAAGCAGTCAAACATGCCACGCCTAGACTGGGTATTTACAGACGAAGGATCTCCAGTTGACAACCTCTCGATTTTGGCCCCCCTAAAGCAGAGCGGTCACGCCGTCATAGATTTTAGTTTTATCAGTAAAACTAGTTTAAGACATCCTGCCAACAACAGGCGCTGAAATTTCAAACGGTTGGATGTGTCAGCTTTACAGGACAATCTACGGCAGGTGGCTTGCAAAGTTGACCCCTAACTTGTTGTGGGTGCTCACTGAGATTTCTTACTACACACGATCTTACACGCTACAAGGCTGTCTGTTCCTTAAATGGTTGCCAAAATCTACAAGCAACCGTAGTCTTCACCTGCCAAGCTTCAAATGTCACTGCTGAGCGAAATACAAACTGGTGGAAACGGCGCATACAGGCAATGCAAACAAATAAGGAACATATGCACAAGGGCAGTGAGATTAAACAGACTTCAGTACCAGATAAAGCTTATCGATAAAACTGTTTCCAAACTGCTAGGTCCTAATGGACCGACTAACAGCGACGGTGACGCCGCTTACCTTTTGACTGAACACTACTCTTGGATATTTCAACCGACCCACACTATCTATATTGTTGAAAGCTTCATCTGAAACTTCACAGGACTTTTCGAGATAAATCTGAGTACTAGAAACTGCGGCACTTAAAAAAGAGACACTTTTCCTAGTCTGAATATGGTTCATTCTGCTATACTGTAGGAAGCAGCTTCAGTCTTGGCAACACCGCTTAGCGTGACGTTCTCTCACTCGCTATGCTGAGGCACATTACCGGTAATTCGGAAGATGGCTCACATCACACCAATTTTCAAAGGAGGTCAACGCAGCGAATCTTCCAGCTACCGATAGAGAGCACATCTCAAAAATTATGAAATCCCTGATATGCGACGATCTGCACGACTACTTACCAACCGCAAAATTCTTTTCATCGAAACAGATAAGTTAATTCTTGTATAACCAACTTGCTGACCACGGAAAACTGATAGACAACCATCCTTGATCTCAAGGGGAAGGTTGATGTCATATATCTTGGATTCCCAATAGCTTTGGATAGGGCCAACCATATATGTCTTATCAATAAGCTGAAACAATTAGTTGTCAAACCACCCTTAATTGATTGTCTCACTTCATATCTAAAAAATCCACATTGTAAGGTCAGGGTTAACTTCGCTTTCTACCAGGCTATGGAATGTCCTAGAGGAGTCACCCAGGGTTCAATACTAAGACCTCTTTTATTGATTTATATAAACGATCTTCAATTGACTCATAAATTTGTAGTGACTCACATTTATCACGAGAACACGACTGGTTTAATAAAAACAATTATTATTATAGCAAACTGTACCAGTGTTTGTTTTAATGTGCTTTTGTTTGACCGTGCTAATGACAGCTATATTGCGCTTCCATTCTTATTCTTACACTTCGATTGTGACTTCGCGCGAATTCGGTTACGTTCTGTAACCAAGCTTGTATCCTGGCACGATCTCGGTATCCTTTCGATGCCACGAGATCGCCAGCGAATATATCTCGATTTGGTCCATTAATTGCCTTCTGATATTTGGCTTCTCGGGGATTTTATGGATTTATTTGGTTACGTTCAACCTTTGCCTTCTGATTTACTTGGCACGTGTTTCTCTGTAGCGGTGTTCATATTTAATCACGACTCGACGCCACGCTACAAATTCAACTATTAAATTACTATAACATCCACAAAACCCCTTCTGATAATAATGTTATATTTCTTAATTTTCCATTTCTCTGAGAAAAAATATCCTAGATTAAGAACAGGTATAGTGTGCGTCCTGTAACAGATACGTGATAAAACAATGAATCATTATGCGACATTTAAATAGACATGAAAATAAATAATATCAATTCACTAAATCTACTTATATTTATTTTAGTATATGAGTATTTGTACTTTGATCAACAGAATTTGTATTAAAACATAGAATGAAAGATCATTTTTACAGAAAGGCTTAGATAAACATGAATATTTCGACTTGTAAATAATTAATACTAAAAAGACACATCTCCACTTCTTGTTATATGTGTTATATCTTGTGGCCTTATGCCTCTATCAATGTATGATGTAATGATACCGCCAATTAGAGAACAGTGATTTATCGATCGGATCGATGACGCATAAAAAAAGTACGAACAGTCTAGAATCTTTGTCGGTCCTTCTTCCTGATTAGCCCTGCCTACGTGTTCAGTCCAGAATACCAATCTCAGCCTCCACTATATGAATCATTATATTTCATACATACTGTGTGTATATACTAACCAAACAGCCCACATCACACCATAAAATAGAAAATAACAGGTACAAGATCTAGCCAAAAAGTAGCTGTGAATGTGGAAGACTGTCATTAATAAAGTGGGTAGAACTCAAGAACGGCAAATCTCATAGTACTAGTCTATGAATCAAAATGAAGCTCATAATAAGAGGAATATAACTATTCATAGTTTAGTTGCTTAACAGTTACACAATACGTATATATAGCATAGTATTAATCCATAAATGGATCCCAACATTTATCATTCATAATTCTCATCAGGATATAACAATATGGAACTGTATTCATAAAGAGTATTCAGTCAAAAGTAGAAAAATATTAGGAAGATGTAAATTAATTGACTCAATAATTAAGTTATAATTGTCAGTTAAACAGTTAATCTCTACATTTCATATATTGATTAATTAATGTAGATCCCTGTTACGTGATTACATTCCAATTCATTGATTGAGTAAACATTTACAATGAGATTTATAAATAAGTGTATTTTGTTAAATGTTATCATGATCAGTTTTCAATCAATGGTAAGTCCATGAATAAATCTGGATCTTCACTGTTTTTGCATTCCATCATATCAGTCTTGTTTTATTGAAAAGGATAGCAAATTTCGGTTCATTCTACAGTTGTCATAACAACAGACGTATAAGTAGAAGTATCAACAGTTTTTCGCACGTCATTACACATACAGTGAATGTGTTTGA